CGCTTCCTAAAATACCAGGGGAATCGGAAAGTGAACAAGCCCGCGACGTATTAGATTGAGAAAAAATATACACTACCATTTTTTTTCTTTTGTTCTCAATCCAATACGCTAAGCATCTAGAAATAAATACAATGCGAAGTCACAGGTCCCCGATCACATATAGCAAGAATATAATGAACAACGCAGAATAAAATAATATATATCACAAATGGGATAACATCCGAGACATAATAATACAGGTCAAACGTGCCCTTATACAAAAACTATCTGAAGGAAATACTGGAGAGTATAAAATACAATGACCAGGCGGAAAAGGAAATGCTACGAAAATAAACTGAAAGGAATAACTAAACTTCAACTTGTTCTTCTGCTCCATCTACAAGGCACTCCTGCTGAGAATCTTCCGGCTCCTGACGATCTCCCAGCTGAACATGTTCTTCCTCTAAGTCTGACGTACACCAGAGAAAACAGGTGTACGTCAGTGTGTATGGCACACGGCAAGACCCCACGAAACAAATAGAACAACAAAAACCAAAACGAAAAACGATACGATAACAGAATTGACAAAAGAACGTGCATCTGGAAATCCAACAAAATCAACATGCAAATTCACTACTAAAACATGATAATCATAAGAATCCATAAATCAAACGAGTAACGAGATCATGCAGCTAACGATCAGAATAATCATCCAAGTAACAGGGGAATACACTAGATGGAATTAATACTTAAAAATCTACAACTCGAGACGTAGTACGTCGAGCGAAATAATCCAAACAAGGAAACCCTAATGTATATATCATATGTCTCAAATTATAGATAATTAAATATTAATCCCGATCTATGTGTGAAAAGAAGTACAACCGGCCTATATCTCACAAGAATCATACTTAGCCAAGAATCGAGGTCATGTAACTAACTATCCCATCACTCATCTCAAATAATCAACAATCTCAATATCACTGCTCCTCAGACCCACCCCAGGCCGACACAAGGCACTGGCGCGAGCCTGGAAAATAATCAATAATCTCGATATCACCGCACCTCAGACCCACCCCAGGCCGACACAAGGCGCTGGCGCGAGCCTAGAAAGCAACCAAAATCACAATATCTCAGCTCCTCAGACCCACCCCGGTGACTACACAAACTTCACCGGCGCGAGCCCGGAATATGCATCAACAATCACAATATCTCATCTCCTCAGACCTACCCCGGTGACTACACAAACTTCATCGGCGTGAGCCCAGAATATGCATCAACAATCACAATATCTCATCTCCTCAGACCCACCCCGATGACTACACAAACTTTACCGGCGTGAACCCGGAATACAACCATAATCACAAATATCTCAACTCCTCAGACCCACCCCGGTGACTACACAAACTTCACCGGCGCGAGCCTAGAATATACATCAACAATCACAACCGCTCACATGGACCAAGACTTCTCACCCCAATTCTCGTAATTCCAGGTCAACCACACACGAGGTCCTAGATCCTAACTGTGTCATACAGGTCACTATAGTCATGAACTCCTAACAATTCTCAATCACAACAATAAACAATCAATGCAACTAATCATGTGCAATAATATCATAACATATCAAATAACGAAGAAAATTAAGAATTATAAATCATAAACAACGTCTACATAATTCATAAAATAATCTTTTTCTAAATTAATTCATTTTAAATTATTTCGCTTAACAATTAATCTAAACTAATTCATTTTTCAAAATAAATTCTTTTAAAATATTATAATTATCTAAAAATGATTCTTTTGCCGAACCAAATTCTTTTAATTCCTTATAATTATTCTGAAAATGCTATTTATCATATTACTATAATATATTTTAATATTCTTCATCAAACAATCCACACAGGTAATTATATTACAAACTAATATATACAGACAACTCATAATAGATCTGAAAATGTAAAGAACGACAAGCTGAGTAACGGGATCTTGCAAGCAACTAATTAATTCAGAGCGGATCTAAGAATTGAATGAAAAGTCAAGAGAGTATCGGGATCTTGCCTCAGGTTTCGTCGAACGAGCCGACGCTTGACGGCACGGGTCGGATCGGATGCGGTGGACGAGCGTGGCGGTGAGGGAGCGTAGAGGCGGTGCAGGTCGTAGGCGAGCGTGGGCTGCGGATCTGGCACGGGTCACGGGCGGCTCGCTGCTGTAGTGTTTCGAGGCTTGGCAAGGGAGTAGCCGTGAGGACCGGCGTCGAGGAGCGGGTAGGGGGTCAGCGAGGATGACGCAACGACGAGGAGGATAGCGAGAGGCGGGCACCGGCGAGGTCGCGGCAACCTGGCGCAGGCTGGGCACGGCGAGCAGGGGTTGGGTGAGTGATATGGATTTGGTTGAAGTGGGCTCGGAGGGGATTGACGGCGACGGAGGCGGATGGTGACAGAGTGGAGGTAAAGGCGGGGGGTGCGGACGCGGTGGCCACGAGGAGAGAGGTCGAGGTCGACGAACGGCTTGGTTGGCGCTGGGCGGAGCGGCGAGCGGCGGTGGCTGGTTTCGCTGCTGAGGGGTTGGTGGAGGAAAAGGAGAGGCTGAGGGGAGAGGAGTTGGGTGGTGCGGCTGGAGGAGGAAGGCGGTGGAGAAGATCCGGAGGTGGGAGGATTGGTGGTTCAGGGGCGGCGAAGGTGGGGAAGGGGGCTGGTCGGGCTGAGGCGACGAGGCTGGGTCGCGGGTGGCTGGCGGGGTGGTGCGGTGTGGGCGGGCGGCCGGTGGTCAAGCGCGGGGCGGTGGATGACGACGTTGATGGTGTGGCGGCGGCTGCAGGCGGATCAGGGTGAAAACAAGAGAGGGGCGGCGTTTCGTGTAGAAGAGAGGAAAGAGAGAGAAACCATAAAACACACACACACACCACATACATACATACATATATATAATATAATATATATATATTATATATATATATATTATATATATTATATATATATATATATATATATATATATATATATATATATATATTATATATATATAATTATATATAAAAGAAATTAGGCATTTTTAAAACAAAAAATAATTAAAATAAATAATCATAGGTATTTAAAAATTAAACTAATTACAGAATAATTATCTACAAATAAAAACATACATGTTGTTAATACAACAGTTGATACGAAATAATCGAAATATACCCATATTGTATAATTAAACAAGAATAATTAATAAATAAAATATATTTCTACTTAAATTTAAAATCAAATAATTATAGGATAATCATCTATACAATAAAACGTACCAGTTGTGCTAATACGACAGCTGATACGTAATAATTGAAATAATTCAATAATTTATACAAATAGTATGTAATTAATAATACAACATAATACACGAAATAATACGTAATAGTACAATAATACAACGTATTATATAGAATAATACATAATAGTACCGATAACATAACAGATTAATTTCCAAAAATTTTACTACTCAAAATAAATTTATAAATATCAAAATCATTTAAATAATTATATAATCAGATTTTTTAAATCATAGAAAAATATAGAAAATCAAAAAAATACAAATACTCTTTTAAAAATAATAATTAATATTTTAAAATACCATAAAAATTTATTTTAACTAGTATCGAAAATTCATGGTCCTTACAATTTCCCTTCAAGTCAAATTGTTCAAGGTTGTTTCCTTGCAAGTGATGCTAATCACAGACAACAAAGTCCACTAATAGGGGAAAGCAAAAAATAAAATCGGTTTGTTTGTGGTGATCATCTGATCTGCTGCAGTTCTTTGTTTCTCCTTGTATCGAGTATGAGTAATTTGAATTTGTGTTAGGTGATATGTCATTGTCAGGACCTTCGAAGGAATCGATCCGAATATTTTGGTAAAGCAACTGTGTCGAATTGTAGATGGTAGACTGGATGTACTAAATGATAAATGGTTAAATCTAAAGATCTTATATCGAGCATTGACTGAATATAGCATGTCGATATGGTAAATATCTATGTAGAGTTTGTTAATAGCGACTGCAATTGTGTTTTGCACATTAAATTACGACTATAACTTCAGTTGTATTCTGGAGAGCACTGAACAAGATTTAAAGCCTTGTATTCATAAACATATAAAGTAATCCTCATGAAGTTTGATGTTTGTCACAAACCTATTCTTCAAATTTAGAATGCATCTTGATTAGAACCGAACAAACCGAACCGAACCGCACCTAACCGATTTGCAACAGTTCGGTTCGGTTTTGAATAATAGGTGGCTTGGTTCGATTGTTCAAAATTTGATAAAAACCGAATCGACCGACCGTTTGCGCAGCCCTACTCCGGCGTTTAAGCTTTATCTTTCCCAATGAATCACTAATGTCAACATTAAATCCTAATTAAGTGTTGTTTTTCATATATACCCTCAAATCTCCCACATTTAGAAAAAATGCTAAATTTTCAAAATAGACCCTATTAGTAATTTATTTTAAAAAAAACAATCCATTTGAGATTTAATTGTCATTTTCGACTCAGTTTTAGCCATCTAGCTGCAACTAGGTTGAAAATGACAAATAAAGTTTGAAAATTTCATAGGATTTAAAATCTCGTGAAGTTTAGTGTCTGATTAACCACGCTAATGAAGCTGCAGAAGTTCGAAACGGGATTTAAAATCCTGTGAAGTTTATTGCCTAATTAACCACGCTTGGCTAAAACTAGGTCGAAAATGGTAATTAAATTTCAAAAGGATCAATTTTGAAAAATAAATTTATAAAAAGATCTATTTTAAAAATTCGTCCTAAAAAAAGGGGCATCATTTAGCAAATAAAACCCTATCAGTATCTATTCACTTCCCTTGATATCTATCTTTTTTCCCCTCACTTGGGAGATGTCATCACATTTTCTTTTGTCGCCAGTATGTCAACACTATGACAACTTGATGAGCCCACATGACACCAAAAAAACATCCCTTTTACAAAAGCAAGAGCTGTCTAAAGAAACAGAACCACATTACTAAACCTACCCAATAAACAATCAAACAGAGAGTAATACCCAGAGGAGTGCCAACTGAGAACACGAATACATTTTCAGTTGCTTGAAGCTTCATTTGTGTTCTCAGGTCACCCCTTTGGGTTAACTTCCTCTACATTACATCCCATCGACACCTTCTCAAGGAGCGTTCGGTCGGGTGCAGTTGGATCTGCGATGCGTTTTCAGTTAACAAATGGATATAACTGGATTTGTATAACCAGGTCCTACTACACCCAACCAAACGCTCCCGTTACTGAAGATATCTAAGGTTGGTTCCAGTACACGCAAACTATGAAGAGGTAATATTGAGCGTGCTATTGAAATTCATTGTTATTCATTTTCTATGATTAAAAACTTTGTTTTGAGAAGACACTGTTTGTAAGGAATCTCGTTTTGATAAGCAGTAGATTATCGAAGTCTAGCATTCGTTTTGTGGCTAAAATGAATAAGCCTTATAATAATAGGTTCTAGTAAATTTATCATCAATCCATTAACGCTCATGTCCTGTTGTGTGTGCCTGTATGTGTGTGTGTTATTTTTTTTAACTCTTGAAAGAACTTCATCAGGAAATTTGTCCCGTGAAGAGCTAGGCCAGTACTTTTATGGTGATTGCTTTGATAGTATTCTGGAATTATGCAGTGAACGAATTGAAGGCCCAAGACCTCGTCAGCTTGGACTGCAATCGCTAGCTTTTAACACGTAATAATATTTAAATACTGCAGATGTGAAAGTTCACTTGTTTTCTCTCTTGTTAATGTGAAGGGTAAAAGAGAAAATGGGGCACTAGATGAAGCTATAAGAAGGCTACAATCGAAAGAAAATCCCAATTGTTCTTTGTACAAAGCTTAGCGTCTATGGAGGCTCGTGAGCCTCTTTTCCTCTAGTGCTCAAGGAAGTTTGGAGCTATTTAAAAAACAGAGGTTGCTTATTAATAATTGGCTGGATTCAACTCACGAGGTTGCATCAAATGGCTTGTTTATCCCGAATGCTCTCATTCACGCAAGTATATTATTAGCTGATCCACTTGGCGTATCGGATGGAACAAAGAGAGGATAGAAGAAAATTATCTTTGCAAAAAAATAAAAAATAAAGATAGACTTTTAGTGTAGCGAGCAATGTTCTAGTCCTAAGTTTCTTATTTTGCTTCTCAACTAACTTGATTTACATAATACAATTCATCTCTTTTAAGGGGCTGTTTGGTTCATTTCCTAGATATAGGAAAATGCATTTCTATGTACAAAAACACAAGTTTTGAGTTTTCTAAACTTTTCCAAGAAATAGATTGTTTCGCTTTGGTTCGCACAAAAAAAAATGGTGAAAAACCAATGTATTTATTTTTCTTATGTTTGGTTTGCATGGAAAAAAAGAGAACTTTTGTTTATATGGCAAAAAGCCGACGTGGCTGTAGTTTTCGTCGATTTCACGAGGTTGAGGAAGGAATTGGGGAAGAGAAAAAAATCTGATGTGGGGACGATTTTCACCGAGTTTTCTTTCTTCAACCCTAGCGAACCAAAGATGGGAAAAAAAATCGACGGAAAGCTTATATCCTACGTGGCCACGAAAAATCTGATGTGGGAGCGGTGTAAAACTTTTCCACCGAGTTAAAAAACGAACCAAACAGCCCCTAAATAGAGATCTCGAGTCTCAATAGCACTCTAATAAGAGCTACTATATGAATAGGACTTGCTATTTAAATATAGTTCTCTCGTAAAATTTATATTTTAAACAACACTCAACGTGAATAGGACGGCAACTCCTGATCAATTAGGACTCCTTCCAAATTTGTAGTTACAAACTCCTGATCAAGATAGACTGTGTAATTCAGATCATACAGACTTCTAATCATCATAGGACTCAATACTCCACGTTGTAATAGGACTCATGCTTCTAATTACAATAGGACTTGTACTCCTAATACAAATAGGACTCAATACTCCTAATTATAATAGAACTCACACTCCTCTAAATGACAATAGCACTTGTACTCCTAGTTATAATAGAACTCATACTCCTTATTACAATAGACCTCATATTTCTAATACAAATAGGTCCCATGCCCAGTTATAACAAGACTCACACTCCTAATTATAGGACGCTACAAGGTTCTGCAAATTCAGTCTCCTTGCTAGAATAGAAGATCCGCCAGGATCAATACTCTCCCTTTTTAAAAGAACAAACTAGCAGGAGCTCAACCTTGTTGGAATGGAAAATCCTCCTCTCGATCAATAGTCCTCCATTTTAGAAGAGCAAAGCCACACCAGATCAGAATTTCAAGTGGTGGAAATGCAATGTCAGGGTCATCTTCTTCATAGAATATAAAAGTATCGAGCTTTGCCTTTGCTTTGAAAGGTTGTACAGTCATACAACCAAAACTGGTATAAGCCATTCCTTTCTCTTCTTTTCCTATATTATATTCATCATCTAAAACTACTGCTTTGTTTAATTTTGCCGATCTAGCATCTCTTGTAGAATCTTTTGTGTTTGGTTTAGAAGAAGAGGGGTTCGAAGAAACCTAAAACAACGCATTTCCGTCACAGTCATTAAAGAATCCATGCGTATCTCCATCCTAGCCATCCGTGATGCAATATCGTCTTCTGCCATTTGTTGAGGTATTTTTTACTATTGTAACTTGAGCTCTTTATTTGATCTAGCTCCAATGTCATATGATCTTTGTCGAGTTGCGACCATGCACAGTAAAACCTTCCAGTAGGATCTTATTTGCTCTAATACCAATTGATCAACCCAATGTATAGACTAGAGCAAAAGGGAGATAGAAGAGAATTACAACTGCAAAAATAAAAATACAAAGATAGACTTTTGTGGCAGAGAAAGCAATGATCTACTCCTAAGATTTTATTATATTGCTTCTCAACTAAATTGATTTACAAACTAGAATCATCTTTTAAATAGAGATCTCAAATCTAAATAACACTCTAATTAAAATCACTATATGTATAGGACTTGCTATTTAAATAAAATTCTCTTGCAGAATTTCTATTTAAACAACACCCAATAAGAATAGGTCTACAACTACTAATCAAGTAGGACTCCTTCTAAATTTGTAATTATATACTCCTAATCAAGATAGGACTCTATGTAATTCAGATGCTATAGACTTTAATTCATAATAGAACTCAATATTTCAAGCTAAATAGGACTCAATACTCCTAATGACAATAGGGCCTATACTCCTACAACAAAAAGGACTCAATACTCCTAGTTATAAAGGACTCGGTACTCTAATTACAATAGGACTTGTACTCCTAATACAAAAAGGAGTCATGCTCCTAGTTCTAATATGATACAGTACTTCAAGTTATAATATAACTTATACTCCTTATTACAATAGTACTTTTACTACAAATATAAATAGGACTTATACTCCTTAATTATAATAGGACTCTACAAGGTGGTGCAAATTGAGTCTCCTTACTAGAATAGAAGATCCTCCTGTACCAATACCTCATTAAATAGGTGTTGGACTTTTTTGTTTTGGTTCCTTGACATAGGGGTTAAAATCACTCTTATGTATGATAGAGATGATAGATCTACGATGCAAGGCTAGAGCTAAGTGGATAGGATTGCTATCTTTTTCATCTTAGCACAGAATATGCAGCAAAATATAGCAAATAAAAGCAATAGATGATATACAGCAATATAAATATCACAAACGCAACCAACTAAGGAACACACAAAGTTTTACAGTAGTTTGGATAAACAATCATGTACCCACTTTTCCTTCTCATGAAAGGGCTTTCGCACTATGAAAAGAATTCATCTGAATCACAAACCCAATTTAGTAGGCTTACAAAATCAAAATTTAATTTTTTCAAAAACCAGTCATCTAAACTAACTCTTAATAATAACTCCAAGCACTAGCTAGGCCTGACCCTCCATCCAACTAGCATGAGTATGCTCTAAAAGAAGTTAAAAGAAATATAAAATCAAATATCAATAAGTGCAGAATTATAATGATGTTACGACCCTTTCTACAAAATTTGTTGCAATAGTCTTAAATTATCAGTCGCCCTCATAATGCATTCACAAGTTAAATTGATTTAAGTATGAATCTTCCAGTTTTGTGTACATCATAAATGCATGACATGCACTGTTGAACACTGCACTAGGCGTATCTATAGAGTTAAGATTTAATGGAGATCTTTCTGATTTCTCGCACAATGAAATCTAATGGCACTGCAAAAGACGCAAAGATTTAAGCTAAGATAACAGCAAAGCAATCAGCGGTTAATAAATAGAATAAAACTCCTATTTACCAATAGAAGTTGACAATTAGCAAATAATGTATGACTGAGGAATAAATATCAGGCCGGTCCCTGCAGATGAAGGTTTCTACTTAGGAACGTCAGGAGCATGCCTAAGTAAAATAGTTTTAAAAAACATTTTGCACATAGTAAAAACAAATTGACATGAAAAAAAAATGTATTCATTAGTGTTGGCAACCAGTGGTTTTGATCCCCAACCTAAAAGGAGCAAGAACTTGCTTAGTCAAAGCCAAAATATGGAAAGAAAACATCTGAATGCAAAAGAGTATCCTCTACCATTCTACTAATAGTTGGAAACTGACTAAGCAACTGCATAGTATTAGCATCAAAATGATGTACTCAATCTATGAACCACAACTACCAATAGTATGTTTAAATACGCCTAAATGTCTTAAGTGCACTAAATAATCGATTGGTCTTATATATGCACGTGAGGATACTTTAACTAAATAATCGATTGTTCTTATGCATGTGAGGATACTTAACTAGTTAATAATTCCTATGACAGAGAAAAGAACTTGGTTTACTCCCTGAGACACATATTTTTCAGAACTTATATAGAACATTACTCTTTTAGAAAAAAGTAGAAAACTCAACCATAGCTCCTGCACCAAAAATTGAACCCCCTAATTAACTGCAGTGTTCTAAACGCTGAAGATTTCTGGGAATTAGAGGAAAACAAGAAGGGGGGGAAAATAACAAAAAAGAAACAACCTCTCACTTAGAACTTAGAAGTGCATGCTTAGAATTTAGCAATAGCTAATAAAGCTTATATCCCAAAAGGTGGCCTCCCAACACTACAAACACATCACCAGAAACAGGAACTCAAGAAACTTGCAGTAGAAGGCACCAAAGTCAGCAAAGAACTATAAGAATTATGAACATGTGTTGTAGATATTCAACATACCTCACAATACTTGGTCCAATCTACCAGGTCCTCAATGAGCAAAAAGAGCAAAGAAAGACACCGCAGCGATCAAAACAAAAGCAACATCACTCGGAACGATCCCCGACGCCCCGCTCACCATAGGCGGAGAAGGAGCCAGGCTGGGCTCCTGTGCGCTGGACAGGGCCAACACCACAAAGAACAACACTAATAGCAAAGGGGCCTTCGTTGAAATCTCCATTAAAGTAGTTTGTGTTGATGTAAGTTTGGAGGGTATTTATATGAAAAAATACTGTGAGAATAAAATCTTGCTTGCTAAAGCTTCACGCTTGGAGTAGCCATTAAGTGTGTACATGGGTCGAGATGCATTTGGGTGAGGTGGAGGATGGTCCAACAGACCCTTGAAGAAATAGTATAGGGTCGCTTTTGCTTGGCAAAAGACAAAGGTGAAGACGAGGGTACAGCTGCGTTATGATTAGAATAGGAGTTCTGAATTGGCTAATTTACATTAATCAGTAATCATTACATTAATGGGGGTTAATGTAAACGTACATAACCGTATCATCTCGAACACAGGCGACAGTGAAATTGATGATGCTGTTTAATATGTAATTCTGTCTACCTGGACCTCTAGAAGCTTCTCTATTACAATTTGTTTTAATCTATGACACTCCTTGTCAAAGAAAATTCCTACATTATTATTTGGGTTGTGTTAATTGAAATTCAAAGGGGGTTCCTATAGAATTACTCCGAAATTCAAAGGTGAGCATTAGAATAGCATCCTCATTTTCATGTTGACATGCAATTTGCACCTAAAGAGGCTTTAAGAAGTCAACTGAGAACATTAGAATAGCATCCTCCGTGTGAGCTCCAACTAGCAGCTCATCACTACGGTTCCTTGTACAGGCCCAGACAAGGACCTAGATTCAAAAGAACAGTACTAATATAAATAAATCCTATGCTTTTGGTACTCATATATACTTTGTTCCTACTAAAGAATATGAGAGATGATGATCACTCGTGAACATATAATCGTCAAGTGAATAATATAATGAAGCCTATGCCATGATTGAAGATAAAAATTAGTCTATACTTGACTACTGTTGCTCCTCGTTTCCATGCTTAAGGCAACTTGTCTACAATCGAACTTTTTCCAGTGAAAATTTCAACATAACCTCAACAACAGTGCGTCTAATACAGTACACCCATCCGAAACCTACCCAACACCCGTGTTCAATGATATTAACAAGTCAATTAATTGAAAATGTTATATTACAATAAAGTATCCACCGAAAAACACAACCAAAAAACAACTGATATAGATTAACATTCTCTAAATAATTCATAAGCTTAATCCAGAGACCAGGGAAAATTGAGGGAATGCTCATACATGAGCTAACTATCTTCCTACTCTTTAAAAATAGAACAAGCGATCTGATTCTTACTTGGGCTGAGCAATTCACTGTAATACTAAGCGTGTCCCTTCAACAAGGGTAAAATCTGCAAAAATAAATTGCAAAAAGAAAATTATACTAATTTATGAATCCTGGTAAAAAATTATAGAACAACAAAGAAATTAATTCAGAAAAAAGGCATCATCTTTCACGAATGCCGATTCTCCATTACCAATCGAACCAAAGTTGGTATATATAAGAAGAAATAGAAAGGTGAAAGCTCGAACCCCAAAATCTCACTTTTGTTCTAGGGCTAGGGTTTCGGTGGAAGTGGAGGGGATTGGGAGGGAGCTCAGCAGAGAAATCATTCGAGAGAACAAAGTTTGAATCTAGGATCTAGGGGACGGTGGAACTAGAGATAGAGGATCGCGAGGATCTCACCGTTGTCGATGATTTTCGTCATCACCGGAGGTGAGATTAGGGCTTGAATCGGTGATCGCCGTCGTCGCCGGTTGGATCGTCGTCGTCGTTGTTGCCGCTTGGATCTCTGAGTTAGGGTTTTGGTGGACTGGGGAGAGAGAGAGAGAGAGAGAGAGAGAGTCGAGAGAAGAAACGAGCGGAATTGTAAATGACAGGATATGAGTAGGGATTTAGAATTCTCGGTCAATTATGTTTAAAATGGGCTAAATACCCATATTGGTATTTTAATTCCACCCTAATTTCCAACAAGATATTTTAAATAGGCAAACCCGTTTTAAGACATTTTAATTGATCCAACTAATCAATAAGGCATGTTTTCTCATCGGCGGGCAAATTTCCGACGACATCTCGTCACGTGCATGGCACGTGATGTCTCAAAACTCATTTTTAGCAGCGACAACGGCAACAATCTCGTCATATTCAGCCCAAAGTAGAATAAAATAACGGTTATGACGCCGTCTGAGATCGCTAACCCCATCGAATCGGCTGAATATATGACGAGATTGTTGCCGTCGCCGCTGCTAAAAACGAGTTTTGAGACATCATGTGCCATGCACGTGACGAGATCTCACCGGAAATTTGCCCGCCGACGAGAAACCATGCCTTATTGGTTAGTTTGATCAATTAAAATATCTTAAAACGGGTTTGTCTATTTAAAATACCTTGTTGGAAATTAGAGTGGAATTAAAATACCAATATGGGTATTTAGCCCTTTAAAATGTTAATGGATTTGGACCAATATCCAATATTAGAATCCAAACAATAGAATTGGACAAATTATAGTATTTGAAATGAAATACTTTCATATGGGCACTGAAACTGTGAGTCCATATTTAGGTGTTACTGCAACAACTTAAAGATGCTCTGATATCTATCATCTAGCAATGCTATGGCACTCAATACTCTTATGATTAGTAACTACCGACTAATGATGTTTGGCCGCATGTAAGTTTTAATAAATCCATGAAAAAGACTTACAAAAAGAATACAGAGAACACCCTACAAAAAGAATACTTAGAATAGTGTAGTCAATAATCACTAAACTGGTATTCTAATGTGTTGATCATCTTTTGAGAAAAAGAAACTGTTATTCAAAGAGATGGAGGTTGCATGGTTCTATTAGGACAATCAGAATCGTTTGTTAAAATTTTCCAAATTAAAAAACTACCAAACAACGTTATCTACTTCCTGTCTGATGAAAAACATTTTTCAACAGTATTGTTCAGCTTCTTCAATGTAATGAAACATACCTAAATTTTCATTCTTACAAGCATGTGGCACCAATATGAAGGTTACAAAAAAAATCTTTCCCTGAAACACCACAAGTTAATAATACTCCAAGCATAATTCGCTAGGACTACAGTTTTGACATGCTATCCAAACCCCACAATTTTGACGAACCTTTGGTTCAATTGCTCCTAAACTTTCAGATTGAAACAACTTTTAGATCTAATTATACAAAGCTAGCATGAAATTCAATAGCTTTAAGACACTAGTACATCTGCATAATCATCTAAGTAAAGATCATGAAACAGAGGAAAACTAGTGAACACATTTTCTTGTTTCCTGGCAAAAATGGGAATATTTCTCATTGCTTGAAATGAAACAATCAATCAAATATCTAGTACAACTAACATGAGAAATTAAATGTAGTTCCTCAAAGCTATGCCTTCAGTTAAAGCTTTTCAATCAGACCAAATACTTTTAGCAGACTATCCTTCTTAATTTTATAGTCTCTTTGAAACTTATATCATCCATAGGATAAAAAATAACTTCAGAAGTAAACTTCGCATCACTAGTAAAAATAACATCTTACATCCACAAAAACCATGGTATAATCACTGATTATGACAATGTTAAGCACACAGTGACCACCTCATTAAGGTTTCACAATGACATGACAAAAATAAATTTCCCCACTTACAGTTAGATGAGCATACAGATGCATACTGACACCAGTTACACTAAAATATAAGGCAGCAATCTGGCAAGTACACACAAAGTAAAACAATTTATAAATTACGATGATAAAATTTAATCAAAAAAACACTCACGGTGATACGATTTAAAGCTCTTTCACGACTTGAATACCCATGCTATTGGCAGTACCAATAATAGACTTGCATATAGCCTCAATCGACATGTGCTGACTACCTGGGTCAGTTTGCTTCAGCTTCGCAATCTCATAAACATGCTTAAGAGTTATACTGGATACAACAATGTGACCAGGCCGAGTGCTTCCTGACTCAATTCCAGCAGCTCTTTTAAGATACCAAGTGACTGAAGGAGACTTGACGGTGAACTCAAAAGTGTTGTCTTTGAAAGCTGTGATTGTGACTGCCATTGGTGTATCAGGCTTGTACTTCTGAGTCCTGGCGTTGAAATCCTTGCAAAATGCCATTAGGTTTAGACGATACTGACCAAGGGCGGGTCCCACTGGTGGGGCTGGTCGAGCAGCTCCAGCTGGGACAGTGAGCCGGATTGTGGCTGAGACAGGGCGACGAATTGCAACGTCTTTCAAGATTGACATGATCTCTGCAAGAACAAAACAAAGTTAATGAAATTATATCAAATTTTCAAAAGTTACCTTGTGTAGGATTTATCTTCAGTTTAAATAGGAAATACGTCATAAAAGGCTTACCATCAGTGCATATTAAGTGTCTCCAAATAGGCTGTTTGTTTGAACGAATGTGAATTAGGAAATCTGACAATATCAGATTTTCCCCCCTCAAAATCCTCATCCTTTTTTTAAATATAGATTGTTTGGTGTGCAAACGGATCAGATATGTCAATTTATCATATATTATTTGTTAACTTGTCATTAAACTAGTCATCTCTACACATACGAATACAGATTTTTTTTCAGTAAGAGAAACTTATATCCGTTTCTGCCAATGTAAGAGAAAGCACTAGGGTGGACAAGGCGTTTGAGTCAGGGCCTAGCACAAAGACACCAAGGTGTTTGACAATTTTTAGATCAAATAATTATAATAATTGATGAAAACATGAATTAGATTCATAGAAAATTGCAAAATGAACTAAATAGCAATCTTAACAGCGTGCTCAAAAAAGATAATGTTAAAATTAACAGTGAGCTAAAGCTAAAGTTAAAGCTAAAGCCAAATGATACACTCACTTTTGGGAGCTCATCTCAATCACTTTGTCATTTGGCCTTAGGTGTAAGCAACTGCTTAATCAGATATTATCAACAGCCAAATAAGGAGGTTTCAATATGTAACTTCAACCATCGTAGCCTGCTTTAAGTGTTGAAGTAGTTGAACGCATACATATGCATCCATAAATAATTAGGATGAAGTTTGGGAGTTATTGCTGTTTGAAAGCAGAAGTCCATCATATTAAGCATGCCAATGTGAATGAACTATGTTCGCTATTATTTGCGCTTTTGAAGTTCTGCATATTTTTTTGATTCCACAAAGCAAGCTGTAGAAAATTGATCTTTTTTATTTTAACCCCTAGATATGTACTCACAAAGGATATCCATGAGCCTAATCGTACCTATTGTCATAGTGATTATCTACAGATGAACGACTAAATTGTTTAATTTTCATAGCTATTTCTGAAGAGGTAAAAATTTTTAATTATGAATATCACATAACCAACATGTGTGCTGGGCACACTTTTACTGCATCCAAAAGGGTTGATGCCTTAAACTATATAGATCATATGTATATCAGATCAATTCAATGTCCTCTTTGATTGTGCATGTGAAACTATAAGACCATTCAAGTTTTAATTTTTTTTATCTACTACTTTATATGATATCTGACAGTGCGTATGAAATTTCCTAGTATGCTGGCAAACAACTCAAACAAGCTAGCAAATGGAATTATTAATCATGTGTCATGCTGAGCAATTTTTTCTAGTTCAAATTTTATCAAAAAGATAAACTTAGACCTTAGACTCTAGAGTAATTGTACATAAATTTAAGAGCAAACAATATACAAAACATAATTCAGACCAAGCCCATGATTTGGATGATTCAAACTACCAACCACAATAAGAGTGTCTTGTAGATGAAAGAAAAAAATATATAAACAAAAGTTAATTATTTTTATGCTAATAATGGCAATCTCGTTTCTAATAAAAGAATGTCCCCTCATTTAGTAGAATTTTTTTTCGTTAGATTATTGATTCTCGCATTCGTGAAGTTTTAAGCAACATTAAGAAACAAGGTAAATTTATATATAATCCTAAATTTAAAATGCAGAATTTTCAAAACAACTTACCTGCTACTCTAAAATGACAAAGATGTTTTTCACACTCCAATTAAAATATTCAACAAAGGTGATTTAGAACATATCTTTGTAACATTCGAAATAAGCACCAGAATGTAAAAGCATTTGAATTAGCACCAAATTGCGAGTTTATAGTCAAACTCTACAATGGATCTATGCGGTGTCTAGAAACTCAAATCCAGTGAACATGAACGCAATTTCAGGCATATAGTAACAAGTAAATATAAACATCAGAAATAGGATAATAAGACTTATAGATGGTTCAGCAAGAAAAGCAAAGCAACGCTAATGGATAGAAAGAATAAAAGTGCTTCATTTGGAATAAAGAAAACATAGACATGTATAAATTACCTGGATTGTTTGGTTTGTGAAATATTGCAACGCTTTCAAGGAATGTTTAGTTTGTGAAATATTGCAACTATAACTGCAGTGGTAATCTGGAAAAATATGGTTTCCAGTTACAGCTGTTCATCTTGCTCTTAAGTTTCTACATCTGTAATTGCATAAGTTTCCTTATAAAAGCCTTGTGTGCATATCAATTACAAGTAATTCCTTTTTCTTTTTCTCCTTCTCAAAAAGATTTGTCCACTTTGTGATTACTGTTGTATGAGTATTGTGGTTGTAATTGCAAGTTTTCACGAACCAAATAGTTCTTATGTGTTCGGATTTGGTATGTACAATCTCAATTATTGAGATTTTTCACTTATGCATATTAATGTTCAGGGGTTGATATGATCTCATGTTGAATTATCTTAATGCTTATACCATCATTGCGTTAATCATGATTCTTTAGTGTGGACAGTATTCCACGATATTGAAGTGAGCTTTGATAAATGGGTCATTCGGGTTATATGGGTCGGGTAACCAGTTTAATAAACGGGTCGGCTCGCATTGACCCATTTATTAAACGGGTCAGGTCAACTATGACCCGATCCGACCCGTTTGCCACCCCTTCTTTCTCCGCCTACCTCACCACTTGCCAAGATAGCCTCCTTGAAGCCCCCTTCGATTCCATTCAAAAAGAAGATTCTCGAAGGATCCAGTTATTGTGTTCTTCCAGAAGCTTCTGGCAAGGTTCCTTCTAGACTACAGATGCATCCACTGATTGGCTTCTTTCAGACGCTTCAGGGTCCTTTCTAGAACCATCCGACCATTGACTTCTAGCAAAAAATTTGCCCGCCCTTTATAATATGGCGTCCCTGTCTTCTTAAATTTCTCTCATTTCTTCTCCTCACTCCCTTCTCAGATGTAAGGGGGGAATTCTCCCATTTCCCCTCCCTCTCTCTAGAATCTCTAATCAAATTAAAAAAATGAAAGGCAGCTTGATCGAAATGTCTACACTAGAGAAGAGAGTTGAGTAACATGAAGCTAAGCTTCTTGAACACGATGCTCAATTTGAGGTTTTTGCAAATATAGTACTGCAGATTGAGAGTTTTTCTCAAGGGAAAGACGATAGAGAAGGCTGCACTAAAGTAAGTTTTTCTTATCCAATCACTGTAGGAGTAAGCGTAGGAGTTAATGAATCCCCTGTAGTAGGCAACAGATCCAGTATATCATCCTACGTGCGAACAAGAATCCTTTTAGATCGACGAATCTAGGATGAATCCTTTAGCAGTCCAGGATTTGCTTTAGGACTTGAATTTCTTGTTTCAATTATTCCTTCTGTCTATTATAAATGAATTTCTGATTGCACGAATTTTTTTAAAAAAACCCAAACAAAACACATGCTCTCTTCCATATATAAGTTGGATTTATCTGATGGCTCTATGGCTTATTATCCCGTGCATATTTCAATTACATTCTTCAAATGTTTTATATGTAGCCTTTTTCTTTAAATGTTCGATTAAGATTGCTACTGCAGTGGGATATGGTAAACTAGTGATTCCATTGCATATCTTTACCAATACAGGTATTTGTTTTATGTTTGCTGCACTTTTTTTGATATACACTATATTGTCAAATTGACCAGTACTGATATAACAATTTTTGTCAGTGAACTTTATAAACACTCTTAGGCTTCAAAGATGTCTCCTTTTATTTTTAAAAAGTTGTAGCAACGCGTGGTTGTAAATTGCGTATTACTCTGTGCAGCATTACAGATCTAAAAGCTGATAGTGGCATAGTCGGTCAGCCTGATTCTGTTGATGGAGCAAACACAAACACAAGGTAGCATCCTCAAATGTTTTGATTTTTATTAGTCCTTTGTTTATTGGAACAACTGTAGTTGATCCCATATGTTTTATAATTTGCAACCTCCCTCGGTGGGAGATGGGTATTAGGGATGAAGTGAAGATCGTTTCTGCAATTGGTCAGTGCAGTAAAAGCTTCAGGTGATTGAAGTTTTTAAATTCTGTCATAATTGTTGTTTGGAATTTTCGGAACAAAAGTCATGATATATTTTGCAGGGAGAGAAAAGGCTACTTGGAAGTGTGCTCTCCACACAATATCGTAAGGCGTGTGTGCTAGGTGTTTGGCAGTGGAAGCTTTTCTTTCCAGACTCTGTGGAGAACAAGATAGAACTAGGTAGGATTAGAACAATATCTGGCGGGCTAAAACCAGTGCATGACAAGCTTGCTGCCTTGGAGAGCACACTTTGATAAATAATTAATGGCATTCTCCACAAGACACGCTACAGTGATCGAATAAGAAAAACATACAATACAACAGGCTTCTCTATTGTCTTTCTCTTGAGAAGGACTTGCTCAATCTACAGTACTCTCTTTGCAAAAATCTCAAACTAACCATCGTGATCAAAAAGCTTAGCTTCATGTTCCTCAACTCTCTTCTGTAGTGTAGACCCTTCTATCAAGCTGCCTTCCATTTTTTTTCAATTTGATCAGAGATTCTAGAGAGAGGGAGGGGAAATGGAAGGATTACCCCCCTACATTTGAGAAAGGAGGGAGGAGAAGAGAAAATGACGAAAATTTAAGAAAACAGGGACGCCGGTTTATAAATGATGGGCGATTCTTCTGCTGGAAGCTAATGGCCGGATGGTTCTAGAAAGGACCCTGAAGCTTCTGAAAGAAGCCAATTAATGGATGCATCTGTAGTCTAGACGGGGTCATGCCTGAAGCGAATCTCTTTTCTTCGAGAAAAAATAAAGAAGTTTGGTTAATTATAAAAGAGGGGAATTGTGTGAAACCGTGAATAAATCTCTTTTCTCCGAGAAAGACATCTACGCTAGGTGGAGGAGAGGGGCAATTAAATGATCCATTAGAGATTTGATCCGCATAAGAGCCCGCATGGAGAAGAATTAACGATATGTAGGCATTTAGAAGG